AGTGACCTCACGAGTAGGCTGGAGGCAACCAGTGATGAAACCAGCCAAACCGCTCACGGGGTCGCGCGCCGGCGCTTGGTGGTGGCTGGCGGACGCAGGATCCGGCGTCGCGCGTGGGGGTTCCAGGGAGGGCGCGCCGCAGCGGGTGGATCCGGGCAGGTGGCGCGGTGGTGGGGGCCTCCGAGGAGGGGGCGCGGCTGTAGGGGCCTTCGGGTAGGGGGATGGCGGCGGGGGCCTCCAAGGAGAGGGTGCGGCGGCGTGGGGTGTTCGGGGAGGGAGCGGTGGCGGGGATCGGGGAGGGGGCTCGACGGCGGGGACCTGGGGGTGCGGGCGGTTGCGGGGTGGAGTCGGGAGACGTGGGGAGAAGGTGCGTTTTTTTTCTTCTGTTTTATCGTCTGGCGCTGATCGCATCGGTTCGGGAGGATCCCATCTGGCCCTGCGTGGTGTGATCCAAATAACTATTCTAATCCTGGGATTAGAATAGTGTTGTCCTATATATATATATACAGTGCCATTTTTGCTCTAGTTTTTTAACCGTTTGTCGGAACGAGGCGTGTAATATATCGTTCAAAAGCTATGGATTAGGCGCAACTTCGCCATGCTGAATACTTTTCGAGATTCCTCACAATTAAAGAGCAGTTTTGAAAATGGTGCGTCCAATAACGAGTGGCAGCAAGCGTTTTTAGCCTTTTTTTCAAAACCGCTCGTCGGAATGAAGAAAATGATACACCGTTGGATAGATATTGTCGAGGCGCACCTTTTTCATATCTATATTTTTCTCTAATTCGTTATGGTTTAAGAGTAGTTTCAAATTCACTAAATCGTGGAATTCTGTTTTTCATATTGTTTCAAATTTTCGGTACTGTTTCTGCTCCATTTTTTAAGCATTTGTCGAAATGAGGCATGTAAAATACTGTTGAAAAGGTATGGACGAGGCGCAACTTTGATATGTTGAATTTTTTTGAGATTCCTTACGGTTTTAAGTTAATTTTTACAAACTGCTTGTCGGAATGATTCAAACGATACACCGTTGGAAAGATATCGACGAGGCACAACTTTTTCATGTAGAACACTATCTCTAATTCTTTATGGTTTAAGAGAGCTGCATGGAAACATCATACGGCCAACCGCACTGCTTCAGAATGAAAACCGCACTGCATCGGAGGGGCAAGCGAGCTGCATGGTTCTTGTACTCCTTTTCTATTTTATTTTTGTGAATAAGTTCTTTTTTTATGAACGAGAGTGGACCGCAGGGAGTAGGGCAAGTGAACCACATCATATATCGAAGTGAACCGCATTACTATTTTCTTGTTTCGCTAAATTTTTCGCACTTTCATGTTGCGGCGAGTGAACGGCATCACTCTCAAAAGTGAACCACATACAAAGATCAAACGCGCCGCATGTGTTGATGTAGTCGACTGAATTTTAAGACATACGAAACAAATTGCACTTCATAAAAAGGGGTAATGAGCTGCTACACAAAATGTAGCGAACTACTTTTTTCAATCGTCCCACAAAAAAAATTGCATCAAAAAAAGAAGTGAACCTCCCGAGGGGATTTCTTTTTTTTTCTGCACACTGACATACAATTGAGGTGTGTTCGCATGAAAAGTGATGTTTACCGGACTGCATGTGTGGGCACCTCGCACTGCATAACCATTGAAAATGCACCATCGCACAACCAAAATCGTACTGCAATTATCAATACAATTATTTTCTCTTTCCTTTTTTTCACAAAGTGAACCACAAAGGGATTTACAACGAACTGCACCTATATTGTAAAGAAGAATACAAACATTTTTCACTACAAAATTATATTGGACCGCTGAGGGTCGGTGGCGATGGGGCATGTGCCCTGCGCATGATGAGGGGGGAGTACAGGGTCAAAGTCGTTGTCCTCACAGTCAAATGGAAAGCACCACCTTATATTCGCCGGCGAGAATTGAGGAAAAAGGTGGAACTAGACGATGCGCACTGCACTGGAACCGCACAAAACCAAAAACATTTATCGGACCACGTCAGTGAGCTGCACACGGGGCGTCAACTGCGCTACACGGCCACGTGCGTCGAACGGGTCGCCCGTCAAAAGCTTGCAGCAACAAAAATCCATGGCGATTGAGCTCTGCGAAGGCACGGGACAAGGCGTCGGCTCGCAGGTCGGGCGACTATGTGAGAGGTGGGGGCAGGAGAGGGAGCCTGCACCTTCACCCGGGAACTCGCGATGGCATCGCCGTCGGCCTTCTCGCCGAGATTTGGGGTGCGTCCAGTTTGCAGGCACGGGATCTAGCGATTTCTTGCCGGCGCGCATCGGATCCGGTGGCGGGGGAAGCCGCGAGGGGAGCCGTGGTGGGCATGGTGGCGGATCTGGTGGTGCAGGGCATGGTGGCGGGAGGAGCTCGGGGTCATCGTCGGAGCCGCGGGAGGAGGAAGAGGGGCAGTCGGACCAAGCACCGGCGGTCGGATCCGCGACGTCGCGGGCCGGCTGGGTGGCGCGATGGCCGGATCTGGTGCTGGTGGATCCCCAGCGGCGCGGGACGGGCGGCAACG